CAACCATGAAAATTAAGGGTTTACTGTAAACAAATCTCAGATTTGTTGAGAAAAGTCAATAGTATGTAGAAAAAAAAATCTATGAACATTTGTATTTTTACAGTGTTTATTTTTGTACTTCATGTGTATATACACAATACAAGTGTATTTACTGTACATGTAAAGTAACTGACAAGAGTAACAAGATTTCACTTTACATTTCATATTTGTGTATTACCACAAATACACAAACAACAAATAACATTCATGAAAAAAAAAAAAAAAAGAAACAAATTATTCTTGGTGGACATCTTGTCGCTCACGTTGGTCAGGCCAAATATTTTCATCAACATCACATCTGATGTTACCATTGCCACACACCGTGGAAAAAATCTCCTTGAATGCTGCACCCATCCCCTGCAATGGTCAGATTTATGACATGATCCACAGGTGTGGCTCTGATTTCATCAGAGGCTCTGACTCTTCTATTTCCACCTCTTCCTCGATTATTCCTTCCTCTTCCTCATTCACATGCCTTCCAATTGCTCTTCCATGAGCATGTTGCTGCAGTTCAGGGTTGTGAATGTCCTCCATTCTATATATATATATATATATATATATATTCTATATATATACTCCCAAAGTTGATTGGTTAAATGGTTAAATGGTTGATTCATATTAGAGGTAATTTGCAATTAGATTGCGAATGCAATTAGAAGTCATGTGCCAATTTAGCAAACATTACAAACAATGTCAGATATATTTTAGAATATACATGCATGTATACTAATTATGAAAATTGAATAGATCGTTTTGATTGTGATGGCTTACACAATAAAAAATGTCTGAGAAGTTCTGAAGTGTTTGACAGTGTAAGTGAGAATCGAGTCATCAGTTTTGATCAACAAGCCATATGCAATTATTTGTTGTCCAAACTGCAGACAGTTGTATGTACTCTTTGCACACATGTGCCAAAGCATTTGCAATTTGCTCAAATCAATAAGAAATTCCAATCTGATGTGAAAAAGAAGCGAATTGTTCAGAGATCTGAACTTAATGTTTAGGGAAATAAAAAAAACATTTGATAACTGAGCCAAAGCAATTGAGAAAAACTGTAATACTCAAAACTTTTTAAGTTTTTTCAAACTTTCAGGCTTTGTCTAGCCAACATCAAAGTTTGTCATCAAGCTATAATTTTTATTTATTTCCATGTAATAATTTTAGTGGTTCAACTTAAACTTAAACTTCAGTTTATTACCAAAGCAGCATTTATTTTTGTCATTTTCGTTTAGTGTAAGTTTGTAATTATTGTAATAAATTTACAGTAGGCTGTATTTTATTTCAGCTTCGATTTCTTTTATTTTTAGCTTTAATCAGCGCTTTCAATAGCTGTAGTTTTAGTTAACGATTATAACCCTGTTCTATTTATCAAAATACACTTTTTGATTAAGTAGTTAGATGCATTTTTTTGACTTCATTATCATTAGATTACATTAATACAACAACAAAACTGAGTGGTGTTTAACAGGCACAAACACAATAAAGATGTAAATAAGGGTGTCAAATGTTATTTGTGGACTTGTGGGAATACTTTTGAGTGATGACTCAAACAAAACAGTGAATCAGTTTAATGAACCTGCCGGTTGAAATGAACTGTCAAAACAAAGCAATTCTCTAAAACGATTCTGGCTCTTTGGAATGAATTGGTGTCATTTAGTGTGACATAAAAACATTTATGAATATGATCTGAATATAAGCCATGTGTATGCTTACATCGCATTGTATTATTTTTTATTACATTATGAGATGAAATGTATTTTAAAAATGAAATTTCATGAAGATACAGAGGTAAAAAGGGACGACAGGATGTTATGGCATCAGTTTTAATTGAATACAAGAAAAATATGAGTATAAAAAAAACGTATAAAATCTTTTAACTTTTCATGCTACAACATTTGTCGGAAATAACTTCCTGTCATTTGTTTTGAGTCAACAATTTTCAGATTCATATTCAGATACATGTTTAAGGTGACATAGTCTCATATTACACATATAGCAATAACAGTAAATTATGCGCAATTACAAGTAACTAACCCTATAGTAACCGGTTACAATTTGTGCTTTCTTATAATTATAAATTGTTATGATTCATGATCTGGTGTGTCACATTATATAATAATCAGTACAATCAATATATGTTTTATATTGTACAAAACATTTATTAACATGAACAACAGATATGTACAATATAAGTAAGTACAAATATTTAGTACTTAATGGGCCCTTATTAGATCATCAGATTCTATAAGATTATATATGAATTACTTTAGTGAAACTACGTTCTCTGTTCACATCTTTGGTCTCACTATAACTTCAGTAAACGCAAGTCTTATCAGATAAAACATACAGTAACATTCTTAACAAAGAAATAAACAAATGCACAACATATTTGCCTAACAAATTTACCTCAGATGCCCAAATGCATAAAGTATCTAATAATAAACCAGTCCATTGTTTGTGTAATGTACAGTACCAGTGAAAAGTCTGGGCACTAGTCATCAAAACTATAAAATTATGCACTAACTGAAAAAAAAAAGTTCCTGCCTTAAATTTGTAGGCCTACATTTTTTTTTTTAATATTTCAACTTAAATTACAATTACATACTTAAAAAAATGAGTTGAATCTTGAATAACTTATTTAAAAAAAAAAAGCAATGTAAAAACATATGTTGTCATGACTTATTGATCAGTTAAGATTTTACATTGGTTTTTTCTAAAATCATGAGAAATATAAAATCAGTCGAATGTGTCCAAAGGTTTTAATGGTAGTATAATTCTAATCGTGTGTCTGTGCTTTAATCCATCTACATACTGTATATTACATGTCATATTATCTAAACTTTGTCTGCGCCACATTTCACAAATGCATGGCTCAATATTTATGCTGATGTGCTGTAAACGGATTTTGGTTTCACTTTACAATATGGGTCCATTTGTTTACAATAGTTAACTGTATTACTAGTTAACAAAAATGATAATTGAAATACTTCTAAAGCATTTATTATCCATGTTAATTTCAACATTTACCAATGCATCAAAATTAAAATCAAAAGTTGTGTTTATTTAATGGAGAAATCATGAACTATACAGGGAATAGTTGTATAGTTTAAAAAAAAAAATGTATTTTTATTAGCTAACGTTAACTATGGGACCTCATTGTAAATAGTTACCCTGAATTTATACATCGTATGAAAAATAACATGACTTTCGCACACCATCCATAAGGTTTGTTTGAAATCTTGTTAAAACCCACAAAAATATAGTTCAGGTCTAACTTGCATATATAGATTTCTAGGTTGCACTTTTTGTACAGTATGTGTACTTACAGGTTACTTACCTAAGTTAAGGTTAGTACCTAGTTATTACCCAGTTATAAAAATTACATAATATGTACATGCCATGGGGAACAGGACTGTAAAATAAAGTGCTACCGATTTATTTAAATTTAAGACATTCATGAAAATGTATGAAAAGTGAAAAGTCATTCATATGCCTCAGAGTATTATTGATTATGTGTAATTATTTTGTATTACACTCGTTTAAACGTTTAAAAAAAACGTTTGTTAAATTTTAGTCAATAAAAATGAGTTAATTTAAATGCAATTCTTCACTACTTTTATTATTATTATTGTTTAATTTCAACTCTTTTTAATTCAGTCAATTTAAATTTGCTATATAGAATCCACTTGAATTGGAACCACATGAATAATTGAATTAGCTCTTAATCTCAGTTCATGTAGTTCAGTACTCTAATAAATTAAAATAGGAATATTTGTTGTTGTATGCCAGGTAAAAAAATAAAAAACCTACATAAAATCAATAGTCAAGTCAAGTCACCTTTATTTATATAGCGCTTTTTATAATACAGATTGTATCAAAGCAGCTTCAATAGAACTCAAGATAAACTGATATTGTTTACTGATACTGATCAATAGCCATGTTAAGTAAGATGAAAATGTAAAATAAAAAAAAGGATAATCCATTAATGTAAAACAGTAATATTGAGTTAAAATAACTTCAAGTAGACTAAATTCTTCAGACAATGAATGTGTTCGGATTTGTTGCAAGGTAAGCGACTCAAATTTGAATCCCACTCGGAAGTGCGCTCCCCTATAGTGATGTACAGTAAATCTCTGCTTAAAGCTACACTGTGTAACTCTTTTAGTATATTCTTAGCTAAAAACACTTAGTTCTTTCAAAAATATATGTGCCTATTAATGTATAATTACTTCATTCAAGTGATAAAGCATTCTCGTGAGTGTATAATATGCCATTGAAAATACATACGGGTAAGGGGTTCTAATGTCAGTCGCCATGTTGCCCCTCCATCTTGAAAGTACATTAGCCAAAGAGGGACATACCCGTTAATTCAAGCTTCGCCTTTTGCGTTTACGTTTGAGTTAACACTCATGGACGAGGTCGAACTGGAAGCCATGTTCATCTTGGACTACATTGGCCACCGTAGGAGTTAAAACGAAATCGGAATTGAGAGGAACGGAAACTTATATTCACTGGATGGTTATATACCTTTTCACCGCTAGATGGGGGTAAAAATCACACAGTGTAGCTTTAAGATGCATAGTTGGAGAATCTAACCAACAAGTCACGACTGTTCTCCAAAAGCATAGTAACGTGCTGCGTCCGAAATCGCATATTGTCTGAGTTGGCACTACATTTGAGGTTGAACTTTGTGACCGTTAAAAACGTACGTTCTATATAGTCGGGCGTCTGTTGGGGCAGCGTAAACATGACATTCATAAAATTCTAAATCCAACGGCCAACTTGCTTGATGGCGCTTGTCTGTGCGGTGTGAATTGGCCTTTAGAGACAAAATTGTCTCAACAACAACAACAACAAACAACAAAATAGATTTAAGTTAAAAGAAAATGTAATAGTTTTAGCAGAAAAAATTCCTCAGTTTAATTAAGTTCTTCGTACTTTGTATTTTTTTCAATGGCGTACGCGCACGTGACGTAATTCCTCCATTGACGCTAGAAATATTTCTTGCACTTGATCAACTTCTGAAAAGCCCTTTTGAAATCCTCATTAAAGATGGTGTAAATCAGAGGGTTGATGAGAGAGTTCAGATATCCCAGCCAAGTCAGAAAGTTGGCCATGTCCGGAGAGTGAGTGCAGGACGAACAGACGTTAACGATCACCTCGTGGATGAAGAACGGCAGCCAGCAGATGACGAAAGCCCCTAGTATGAGTCCGAGAGTGGTGGCGGCCTTCTTTTCGCGCGTGCTCGAGATGCGATGCCTCCTGACGGACCGCTCCCTGCGAGACTGAGACTTTGGGCTTTTCACAGCGATGCGCACTCTGTCGCCTTCGGTGGAGGGTTCAGACACGGATTTCTCCGGAGGGCTCAGTGTGTCGGGGCTCATCGGCTCCCTGTCGCTGCACTTGGGCAGCATGTGTCCGTTCGTCTCCGAGTTGTTGAGGCAACTCGCCCCTCTCCTTTGGTAAAGAGTCTTCGCCGCTCGGTAGATCTTGTAGTAAAGAATGAGAATGAGTATTAGCGGGATGTAAAAAGCCCCAAATGTGGAGTAAATGGTAAAGACGATGCTCTCGTGCTTTATGATGCAGTCGTTCTCCTCTTGCTGTCTCCACAGCATCGGCGGGAGAGTGACGACTATAGCGAGGAGCCACACCATGCTGATCATGACGGCGGCCCGTAGGGATGTCCTCTTCCTCGAGTACTCCACGGCGTTCGTGATGGAGCGGTAACGGTCCACAGCGATGGCCGCCAGGTGCAGAATGGAGCACGTGCAGCAGGTGATGTCCACGCTTAACCAGATGTTGCACATGACTTGACCCATGACCCACGTCTCCTTCACTATGTAGACGATGCTGAAGGGCATGACTAAGACGGCCACCAGAAGGTCGGTCACGGCTAGAGAGCAGATGAGATAGTTTGCGGGATGGTGCAGCTTGCGCGTGACGATGATGGCTGTGATGACCAAGCAGTTCATCGCCGTGGTCAGTACGGCCAGAAGCGAAAGCGTGAGGGAGAGAAGAATCACGCAGGATGTGTTTTTGCTGGGACCTTCTGTGGGGTTGGGTCCAGACGTGCTGTTTGAATCCATGCCTAGGACAGAATACAGGCAGAATCACTCAGACATGACATAAAGCATCTGCTGATGTGTTCACTCTGGGCCGGTTGCACCATCTGTGTGTATGCTAACCTAGCTGTGGCATAAATGAGTGTTTGAGCGTTGCAGTATTATGCTAATTTCAGATGACAACTCGATTTAGTTTAATGTTGATTCAAATACAGTATTGTGAATGTTGATCTAACTATGTAAATGTCACTTCTGATCAATTTAATGTGTTCTTGGTCTTGCTTAGTAAAAATGTATAATTTTTTTTACAACAATATTAAGGACTCCAAACTTTTGAAAAATAGTGTATACGATTAAGTGCCGCGTTTAAACCGAAATAACCCAGAGCAATTTGTCCCAGGAACCTTTTCCCAAGAACTTTTTCTCCCCAAAACTATTGCTGTCTGCGTTCCCATCTCGATATAAAGTACCGTGAAGATTAGGCAAATTAGTGAAGAAGGATGGTGCGCTACTCTCCAGTTCATCCTCTGAATTTAAGCTTAATTAAGTCTGAACCCCGTCATCGGTCCATCTGTCTTTACTTTTTAAACTCCATTGTTGATTCGAATAGCAAACAACTCTTCCTGCACGCACTGCAACAGACTTTTAAAAATGGTGGCTGAAATAAAATGCTACGTAGAGTCAACCAAATAAAAAGCGGCAAGAACTCAACCAATCAGCATGTTCAGCGTCTAAGTCCCACCCCTGAAAGTTCCTGAACTTTGAAAAACCAGCAGGGACTTGCTGAGGGCGACATTTTTACCCGGAACTTCAATTAGACCCTGGTTCCATTGAAGTGCATACACACATAGCACACACTCGCACACAGAGAGAAAAGATTGCGTTGCACACACACATTGACATTCAGCAGCTCAGAAACTTATCAAAGCTGCCCTGTGACTTATAGTCATAAAATAACTTTGCTACTGGATCGCTACAATATATTTCTGAGCAACGAGGGGGTAACATTGCTATTTTGAAGTAATCAAACTCACGCAGCTCTCTCTCTCTCTCTCTCTCTTGATAATTAATTCAAATACATGCTATAATTCATTCATTCAAATAAATAATCTTACTCTATCTCTATATCTGATTTGAAGCAGGCAGAATGCTAGATCTAATGAGCCATAACTGACGGAAATAACCATAAATTTTACCCTTCTCGTCAAATATTACCATGCAAACATCAACTGCAGCTTTAAATTGTCAATGCTGGCAAATGTCCACGGTATAAGCAGGCTTCGCATCAGGCATTTCTTTGCCTCCATGTCGTGCATTGAAATAGTTTACTGCACTGCTAGTTGTGAATTATGCCTTACATATTTCCTTACTTATTCCCAAATATTTACATATTTGAGGAGTTGGATTTATTTTGTTGATAATATCTTTTATTTTAGTTTTATTTCATTAGAGTGTTTATTAGATTTCATGATCGTTTATGTCTAACATATAAAATGTAATTTTTTTATCAAAAGAACATTTAAACATCAACTGAAACAAGATAAACTGCTTTACAACCTAATACTGTAGATACAACTTGCCTGATTATGAACTAATGGTGCAACTAAATTAAGAACAGAGTTCGTTTATAAGGTTGAAATACACTGACGTAGCAAGACTAAGGTCTGCTTCACACACCTTATTTTACAATATTTTAATTTGTGAGCATGCAATTAAATGTATCGAAGGGAACATAGAGTGAAATAAAACGAAAACACATCTTTCTTTTGCATTGTGTACACTCTCAATCACAAACATCAGCTTTTAAGTTATCACTTTGAATCATTCTAACAGGGCAGGGATTCAGGGTAAAGCTCTTAATTGGTTTAACTCATATCTGTATGGGAGAACGTTTTCTTTGGAATTAGGAAATTTTTCATCACCTTCTGCTCCAATGAAGTGTGGGGTTCCACAAGGATCAATATTGGGTCCGTTCTTATTCTCTATTTACATGCTTCCATTGGTGGATATTTGTAAAAAGACATAATGTATATTATCATCTTTATGTCAACGATACACAGCTTTATCTACCTATGAAAATGGGGCATAATTCAGCCCTGCAGTCTCTTTTTGATTGTTTTAGTGACATTAAGGAGTGGATGTCTGCCAATTTCCTCCACTTGAATGAATCAAAGACTGAAGTGATAGTGTTTGGCCCTCCGAGTTCTACTGAACATGTTATTGATAAATTAGGCCTTTTTTATTAAACCTAAGATTCTCAGAGTTATTTTTGATGCCGAGTTAAAATCTGATAAGCATATAAATTCAGTGGTTAGAGGTGGCTTCTTCCAATTAAGGAATATAGCAAAATTTAAACCTTTTAATGATTTGGAAGTTGTTATGGATGCTTTTATTACGTCTAGATTGGACTATTGTAACTCATTGTACTATGGTATTTCTCATGCCTCACTTTCACGCCTGCAGTGAGTTCAAAATGCTGCCGCTAGACTTCTAACTGGGACAAGGGAGTATGAAAATATAACACCTGTACTAGCATCCCTTCATTGGCTTCCAGTCAAATTTAGGATTAAGTATAAAATTGTATTATTTGTTTTTAAGGGCTTAAATGGGCACCAAGTTACATTAGTGAACTTCTTCAGCAACATACATCTAGGCCTTTAAGGTCTGTACATAGGTTTTTGTTAACCACTCCAAAGTCTCGACTAAAATCAACAGGAGACAAGGCCTTCTCTGTTTCAGCTCTTTGTTTATGGAACAGTTTACCCCCTCCATGTTAGATCTTGTTCCACCCTTGATGCATTTAAATCTCTTTTAAAGACTTATCTCTTCTCTCTAGCTTTTGACTAATTTAAACTTTTTGTAATATGTATTATACTTTGTTTTATGATGTCAGATTATATGTGCTGGGCTATTGTAAAGCACTTTGGCCAACGTGTGTTGTTTTTAAACGTGCTACATAAATAAATGTGATTTGATTTGATTTAACAAACGTCTGATTCACTCATTAAACCACCAAGTCATCAGAAATGAATTGAGTTATAGTGTACAGTTACAGTGCTGTGTGAGTCATATATCAAGAAACATTTGATCTAGATGCCTTTATAGACATTACATTAAATTATGTGAACATATGGCCTCTTGAGTTCAGTTTTTTTCACTGAGTAACTTTGCCGAGTTCACCTGGTTTGCTCCATTGAAATATCATGCATGGCTGTTCACTGTTCATACCTGTAGAAGTGCTGCTTATTCATCTGACTGCATTAAAGGAGCTGCACGTCATCACAGCATTGTGTTCGGAGATCTTGAGAATAGTGCTACATGCCAGCATTTGCCACAAAGCATCTGAAAGGTATGGAGATCAAAAAAGAGTGTTAATGTCAAATAGAAGTTTGTCAGATTGTCCTTGCAGAGCAGGCGAGTGTGCTGCGACTGACTGGCGCTGAGGCCATTGATAAAAGACGAATATAATTTTCTCTAAAGCGGATCTGAAATTGGAAAAGGAAATTGGGCTTGAAAAAAGCCTCACGGCCTGGACAAAAGGTCTCAAATGATCCTTTTTTTTCTTTCAGAATTTAAACCGCTAGCCCATTTTCATTATAGGTATCAGGTATTTATGTCTGTCCCTTGAACCTGTGTTTTGTTTGAGGTATTTTTCACAGTCTGCTACTGTCAGCACCACAGATCATAACATATATTCACTGAAGAGTGAGAAATAAAAATCATAGTACTAAAGCACACCATTACATGCTCACAGTGTGGCTGAAGTGTATTAGCACTGGATGTGAGGATATGGTTGTCATAGAGACTCATGGGGACAGGCTTTCTGAGGCAAAGGCCAGAGCTATAGAACAAAAAAATTACTTTTAACACTCCACAAGCGCTTTCTCTACTGTAGTTACAGAATGAGATTTTATAACTGTTTCAGGTTATACAGTTAAATGAATAATTCACACATACACTGTAAAAAATTTGGAGTAGGATTTACTTGAAAAAACCTTGCTAAACGATCTCACTCAGAAAATGCTAGTAAATTTACAAAGATTTGCCAAGTAAAAACCTAAACATATTTATCAGTAGCTTTAATTAGAAATCTTTAAGTTAAATTTACTTGGAATGTGGAATTAAGTAAACTTTACAAAAAATAAGTAATTTTAACTCGGCTTGTAAAAGGTTGATTAATACCGATTTCCTTTGCCTTTGTATTACACTTCACTAAAACAATTATCTTGAATTTTATTAGTCATTTATAGTATGTTCTTTACTTAGATCATCGAAGTAATTTATATATACATCATGTCAGAATTTAAGCCTTATGTGAACGCAAACACCTCAATAGTTGGTAGACAATACACAATGGCGGTAACATTTGATGGGTCGTTTTTGAGTTTGAATGTGTCGTTTTAAGCAAAAAATTTACTCGAAATGTCACAAAATGGCAATTTACTAATACTGAAAACAAAAATCAATGATAAAACAGTGTAAATACAGCTGGAAACCAGTGAAAAATGAACCTCATTAATTATTCAAGGTCCAGTGCATGATGAGAACCCCAGTATCAGAAAAGTTGAGTAATTTTTACTTAATTTTATTGAGTTGATATTACACTTTCATTTATACTCGCTTGAAATAAGTACTGATATGGAATTTACTTAGTTTTTTAAATTCTTGCCTGAACTAACTTTTTCAAGTAAATTACATTGGGTTTTTTCACTAGTATTTACTTAACCAAAAAATCATTTTTTACAGTGTAATATATGCATGTATGTGTATGTATATAATTCACTCTTTTATATGAAAAGTATCCACCATTTCCAACACATCATGACGGCTTGTGCGAATCATGGGAGTAACTTCCGTTGAACTCTAAACAATCAGCCAAAGCTTTGCTCTACGAACGCAATAACTAAGCACTTTAAAAAAAACTGAGTACAATGAGATGACATTTATTTTACTCACCCTTCAACCATCAAATATTAAAAGGAACATTGTTTAGGAAAAAGTGTACAAGCATTGATAAATTACTACAGAAGACCACGAATAACCCCAATACACTGCCCGGCCAAAAAGAAAAGTCACTGTTTGGGTTTAAACACTGTTTGAGCAAATGCGTCAGAGTCTATGATTGGATCATTATTGTGGTGATTATGTTTCAAGCATCTTATGCAAACGTTATGTTTGGCAACAGTTGGTCTAACCCTAATTTATGGAGTATGTAGCTTTTCATTTCTTATACAACCATGTAGGAAGACACATCATGGCCATATTCCAGGATGACATTGTCAAGATTCATCAGGCTCAAACTGTGAAAGAATGGTTGGGACGGAGAATGAAGAATAACTTTCACACATGAACCGGCACCTCTGATTCCAGACCTTAAAGGGGTCCTATTATGCCCTTTTACAAAGTCTTGATTTTGTTTTTGGGGAGCACTAGTAGAATATGTTTTAATGCTTGATCGTTCAAAAAGCGTACTATTTTTCCACATATTTTACGTTATTACAGCTCCTCTTTCCCCAGTCTGGTTGAACATGCCATTTCCGGCCCATTATGTTGTGATTGGCAGCGCTTAGTGTGTGTTCGGGGAATGTCACGCCCCTGCATAACCGTGAACTCTACTCAGATGTAAATATTAACAATGTTAAAATAATTTAGAGCCCGATTCAGACCCTGACAATGTTAACGAACAAGAAGATTATGCTGAACGGATTTCAAGCACAGACTTTGCAAGCATGGATTTCACAGGACATTTCAAAATGGTACATTGTTGTTATTTATGAATTTTTTTTACAGATACGTTATCCACCATTTAATCATATCTGTCGGAAAACTACAGTAATACAAACAGTAATCAATCACAAAATCATGGATCATTTTCCAGGAGCGGTGAACAGTCTTTACAAAAGAAAGAGCTTACAAAAGCTAAAGTAAACACTACATCAATACTGTGATGTTAGTTAGCAGGCTAGCGGAGCCAAGCTTTGCCCTTTGTTTACATCATAGCTATCATAGCAACTACATAAAGCTTATAATTGGAACTGTTGTGATCTATAAACCATAGATTGTCCCAACAAAATGGGAATAGCTACGTCTTTCAGGAGAAGCTTTTGTACTCTCTTCTGGAAGCTGTTCTCCATAAAATGTGCAGCACACAGATAAACATTGAGGTTATAATGGTCAGGAACAATGTCAAAAATAAATGTGAACCTTTCTTGGTTTGTCAGGTTTAGGACAAACTTTTTTCCGGTGTGTTAAAAACAGCGACAACAACTCTTTACAGACTTTACAGAGTAATGGACTTTTGTATTGTCAATACAAGATCTTGGCCAAAAATTCAATAAATGTTCTGATGTTAGGTGCATAAAGTTTGGTCACGATCTTGTATTGACAATGCAAGAGTCAAGGACTCTGTAAAGTCTACTTCTTACTTAAGTCTAAGTGTGACGCATGGTTCACAGCCGCATTCTCTGGCTGAACCTTGCAGAGATGCGAGATGCCAACAAAGTGCACTTTACCGTCTCACAAGGTGGCCTCTTTGGCAACAATTTTGTGGACTTTACCCAGTAGTTCTCAGCAGTCCAAAGGCAGACAGAGGCCACCAAGCACATGATGCCCTGGCGGCTGGCGTGATACAACATCATGCTGGCCACTGCGGCTTCAACGCCACCCCGGCTGCCACGTTGAGCCCCGTTGAGGAAGGTGATGCAAGAAAAGTGGTGGGTTACGGCAGATCTTGGATCTGGGACTTTTGAACTATGTCAATTCAAGTCACCTTTATTTATATAGCACTAAATGCAGATTATTTCAAGGCAGCTTTATGGTGATGCATTTCAGATGTTGTTCAGCTGAAGTCAGTTCAGTGTTAATTCAGTTCCATTGCAAAGATCCTCAATTATTAATTTTGTTCATTTCACCTATAAAGCATTTCTGCAAAAAATAAAAATAAATAAATGAAGAGTTCAGATGCAAAAGCCTCTAAATGCCATTTGAAATTTTCATCTTTAATGATGATTTTTATCAAACTTGTATATTTAAGTTCAGTAATTTCACTTAAATAACAATTAATAGGTAATTATCATTGCCATTTAAGTGAAATAACTGAACTTAAATATACAAGTTTGATAAAAATCATCATTAAAGATGAAAATTTCAAATGGCATTTAGAGGCTTTTGCATCTGAACTCTTCAAATATATGTCATTGTCCAGCTCAGTTCAGTTCACATTCAGCAGTGTCAGTGCAGCCAGATCATTAATATTGTTGAATAGTATCCAACTAAGCAAGCCAAAGGTGACAGTGGCAAGGAAGCCAAACTCTATTAGGTGTCAGAATGGAGAAATAATCCTTGGGAGGTCAAGGGACCAGTTCTCCTTTAGCCAATAAACAAACAGTGTGCCATTAAGATTCAGGCTGCATTACAAGTCTGAATGTATAGCTCAAGAGAAACTCATTTGTCAGTGATTAAATTGGGTGTTTATAAAAGTAGATGCCTTTTGAATTTTAGGATGGGGGTCCGTCACACAAGGATGATAATGGGTCAGTGGCATCTAAAAGATTGGAAACCCCTGTTATTAAGCACCAGACATCAGTCTCTCAACAAAAGGATTTTGTTGATTCTACCAGCTAATGGAGTTATTTAACTCAATGACATACTGACACATTGTTAAATTGCTTATATTGATCTGTCTTCACTGATGAGAAATTTTGACTTAGTCTTTAAAGACATCATGACATCACCAGGCGAGCACAGTTTTCCATTTCACAGTTCACAGCTCACAGACAGTACTTCCTTTTGAAACATTTGGACATATCATAGGTAATTATTCTAATGATATTTACACAGATGACTTCAATTCAGACACTCCTGTGGTGCTTGTGCATGTTCCAGCAATGCAATTGCCATTGAGATGAATAGGATTGCGAATGGATGGCTCTCTCCAGCTATTTCCCACAGCTAGTAGGGAGAGACATGCTCATACTAAACAGCATGTTATTTGACAAAATGCCTCTCAATGCAAGATGTGTTAGTCATATTTTTCACTTTCTCAAAAGAAAAAGACTGCAAAATCTGAAGGTGCACTCGCATAGATGACCTTAAAACAAATAGATAAAGACTTAAAGCTGCAGAACTCGAATTTTGATAGTGATGCGGTCAAAACAAATATTGATATTTTGATTATAGAATATTTAGATTATACTGATATTTTTCTGTATATACTGCACTAGGCCTATATTTTGGGTAATATTTTGAGAATTGAATCCATTCCAACTGAATCTTCAAGCATTTTTACCTCATCTGTATGAATGCAAATCTTTTGTGCTTCCTAACTTCAGTAGAACAGACTT